GTTTTGGCAAGATCTCACATAAAACATCAGAGGACAGTAGTTGATTTATGATTTACAGTTACACAAACTCATATTCACATACATTACTTTAAAATATCTCATTTTTTCAAGCTAGTTTACAACACTAAATTTTAACCTCCCTGGCACAGGTAACAAAGTCTCATACAAAACATGACCTAAAAAAAAAAAGAAATCTTTTGATCTGAGCCAGTTCAACCAGACAGTAGGTCTCAAATATTGTATCAGAGATAGCATGAGGTCTTCAAAGGAACCTAGTTAATACAATAATCTCATTAGTTTGCACAGAGGTCATTAATTCGAGTGAGAAAGGGGCAGCGACGTAAGAAGGGAGTGCAAAATTAGAAGTTGTAAAGAAAAAAAACTCAGAAGGTGAGGCAAAAAAAGGGAAAAGGTGATACCACAGAGGGGAGAATAAGAGGTGTGAAGGAGGAAAAGATAAGTGCAAATGACAAGAGAACAAAGGAAAGTTGAGACTGAAGGCAGCAGAAGAGGAGAGGAGCGAGGAATAGAAGCGATTCAAAGCAAAAAGAGGGAAAAAAAGGGGAATGAAATCCCTCTTATGGGTGTTTGTGCCTCCTGAGAGGGTCACAGATTGAGGAGATGAGTGACCTTGTGGTCATCTGTCAGCCCCTCTGACTCTGCTGGAGGCAGGATATCTCTCCAGGGAAAGGACGCACTAAAACACACACACATGCACACACTTGAACTCACAAACCATTGTACAGTATACTGAGGAGAACATATGCATACTCCCACATTCTCACTCACACGTTTGCACAGGAACAAAACAAAAAGGATGAATTCATTTGGAGCACAACACAAAATACGTGTTGTGAGGCAACTGAAGGGAGACTGCACTCTTTGCAATGAACAAACAAGATTGCTTCATGTCACATCCTGAAGGCTTTCACTGTAAAAAACTGCTGCCGTCAACTTTTCTGTACCAGGCTGTCTCATACTGGTTCCCAGAGGTTTGTACACAGGCACAGTTTTACATATGTGACACTCACATGAGAGGAAAACATGTTTTCCTATAGATATTTTAAATGTAATATCGTGCACAGGCCAACAGACTAATTTTAAAGGACTTCAGACAGGGACAGGGATATCTGGCAGTAGTTAAAACTGCATCTCGTGCCCTTCATCAGCATGTAATCATGAAAACCATCAGCCTGCGGTCACCACTCAAAATGTATGTAGAAAACTGAACAGTGAACAATTTTCATTACTATTTTATACACATAAAAAAAACAAATGTAAAAAGGAAAATGTCTCTTTAAAAAAGTCTGTTTCATGTTCTGTGCAGTCGCTCCAAAAATCAAATGGCTCTGCAGATTATCAAAGGAAATTACATTAGCTACAATACTGAACTTTTTTTTCCCCTGCTATGATTACACCGTATTTGTTCTCAAGGCACGAGGCCAGAGCTTCTTTTACATATATATATATATAGGATACATAAGATATATTTAAGATCACTTGGGCCTTAAACCTTTTCGCAGTGGGTCCCTTGCAATTATTTTAATGGGCTCTGGGGATCCTATGTTGTTATTAGGAGAGGAATGAAATGATCATCTTGGCTAAAGCAGCAGCTGACCACTAATACATTGTCTCATTATATCTTGTACTCTCATCTTGGATGGCAGCGCTGTGACAAGGAAAGGCCCATTACAAGAGGAAGCTAGCATGAGGTAAGTAGTGCTCTTCATAATGTGTGGGACAAAGACACAACCTTTGTAGTTTAGCCTCTGTAACACCACCATAGTGGATTGTAAATCAAACAATCAATATGTTACTAAAGGGCAGACTTTCCACTTTAATTCAAAGGGTTTTAGAAGATTTTTTGCTTTGGGTTTTTTTTTTTATTTTTTGCACGAACTGTTGAAGAATTACAGACATTTGAATCTGCAGTCCCCCTTTTTTAGAAGTTCAAAATGAATGGGACAATGGACCAACAAGCTGTTTCTTGACCAGTTAATGTCAGATAGGTTTGATAATTTTAAAGGTCTGCAGAAGGGCAGGTCTGAACACCCAACAGATGCTCAAGAAAACTTGACCTTTGACCTTCACTGAGATTCTAACTGGTCCAAGATGTTTAGCAGATGAATCCATGGTATCAATTTCAAAATCCTAATCGCCTCGTTCTCGAGTTACCACTTCCACAAACTTGACTGTCCACCCCGTCTGCCCGCCCGCCGGCATGGTGACAACACCCCAGTCGGCATGTTTATGCTGAGGGATAAAAAAGGAAGTATCAAGCTCTCCAGGGCCAAAATAATAAAATACAACCTGACACACTATTTAATAACAAAAACTCAATATCCTACATAATCAATCAAAAACCACTATCTTTGGCTCCTCAGTCGGTAACACTGGAATTGAACAGATAACGGACAATTAACAGGTAACAACTGGCAGTATTTGTGATGAAGGGTGTGGCAGACCCAGTCTGAAACCAGTGGATCTGACACTATGATAAAATAGTACAAAGCATTAAATATGACAGTATTAAGGGATGTCTTTTCATATCACCAGGAACTTTAATATTGCATAAAGATACACAGACACAATATGTACAGCTGCAGAGCGTACAATATTTTTCAGCTGCTGTTGCCTTTGGGTCAATCGAACTTGCCCACTGCCAGGTAGATCCCATTTTTCCTCTCTTGCCTCCTTGCCAGTAGTGTTCGCATCTCTCTCCACACCTCCTCCATTTTGCTCTCCTGCAGTGTATTTTCTGCATGTTTCCATCCTGCTTGACTGTGTTGGCTTCTTCCTCTCACTTCCCACCCCTGAAGAAAACTCTCTGTTGAGTTTGGACACACTGAAGCGTTTCTGTTGTTGTTGTTTATTGGGAAAACAGCGCAGTGAGACTTCTGAATCAAATTGTGAAGCCCATGAAGGTTCCAGCCCCGTACTGCTTATTTAAAATATGGCAAGTGCCCAATAAGGGAGTGTCCCTAACATTTTAAAATCTGGGAAGCAGATATTTTATCAACCTTGTTTTATGGCGAGCCAACACATGTTGGCCTGGTTAGCATGCTGAATGCCAAAAGTTAAAATACCATTCGACACGCCGTGAAAGGAAGACTAAACGTAGACCAAACCCGACTCCAATCTGAGGAGGCCTGATTGTATATTTTACAGTATAGGAAAACAAATGACAAGGTCCTGTTCATTCCTGTTTATTTCCTCATGTTTATTTGGACGAAAAAGCCCCCCACAAGTGTTAGAGACATTATCAGACAGAAAACAAAATGTTTATGTCTCACATATGCACGGTTTACATAAGCATTATTGTATTGTTGCTTGAACAACACAGAAATTCCCCAAACACTTGTGGACGTCATGGAGGAAGCTCGGGAAGAATGGAGGGCGGGTCAAGACAAAGGCAAAGAAAAGGCCAAGATTTTTTTATTATTATTGAAAAGTGGGAGTTTTTCTAATGCTATGCGTGCACTAAACGTGGCAGTTTAGAAACGGATTACAATGCTTTGCTGAGGTAAATCAGAGGAATCTGCAGCGTGCCGCATTTACATCATTGCTCTGACGTTTCACCGGATTACTCATGTAGTGTGGGTTTGTGATCAGAACTCCAAACAAACAACCTGCAAAGGCAGCTGCTGAACACCATCGCAGCAGGAGTTTTATCACAATAGTTTCTCAAACCTGGAATGCTAATTTGAGATAAAGACAAAACTCTGTAAACACATTACCTTGGAAACAAGCCCTTGGCAAAAGCCTTTTTTTTCTCCCCCCTCTGCTGCAATGCTGATGTTAATTTTCCACCGCTTCCTACAGGATTAGAAGTCATCAAAACGCGAGGAAGAGTTGTGAAACAGCGCTCACTGTTTTGAATCCAATTTCAACAATGTCTCATTTTTGAGCAGAGAGAAAATAATCAGCCTTTAGATTCCTGTTTTGACTTGTTACAGTGCAATCTAATGAAAACATTAAAGATCTTTATGCTGTTAAGGAAATACAGGACAAACTGGCAGAGTGTCCAGTACCGTAGCAGGTATAAACCTTTCTATAAGCTCCCTGTGTTTCACTCTCTCCCTCCCCTGTTGATTCCCCATAACTCACTCACTACTTGTCCTCACTCGCTCCATCCATCTTTCCCTTTAACCTGTCCTCCCAAACCCTGTCACCTTTGCCACACTCATTTTCCTGTTTCTCTTCAATTTTCTCGCCCAAGTTTTACGGCCCTTTTCTCGCTCTTTCCCGTCTCTGCATCATCACCTCCCTCTCTCCTCCTCTGCCTCCATCCTTCTGTCTGTCTCTCGCTCGCTCTCCCTCTCTGACCCAGAGGGCCATGTTTCGCTGAAATCCAATCCTCTCTCTTTTTTAAACCTGCTGTTCCATTTCACTCCCATTTTGTCACACTGCAGTGCACACACAATACCCGCTCCTCCCTAATTTCAACTCTCCTCTCCGTCTCCTCACACACACACACACAGATGTGATCACACTTTCATACACTCACATTAACAGACATTTGCGCAAAGGCATGAGAAAAATTGAAAAATTGAATGGTGGAGGGGGGGAAAAATTGTAATTAAGCCATCAATCAAGCTTGATGCTTATGATTGGATTCATACACAAGCGCCCATACACACCTTCCAAATCGCACGCCCACACTTGCAGCTCAGTGGCCATCCATCACAGCTTCACTGACTCCGTTCAACCTCAACTCAGAACCAATCACACAGAGGTTAGGGACTAACTTGTGCATGTGTGTGTATTTGCGTTACAGAAAGAGAACTGACACTGAAGTGCATCATGTCTGTAAAGCCCCTTTCAGCAGAGCTGTGGGAGAGGCAGAACACAGTGAACTGAGATCTGTACAGTTCACTGTCAAACAGTTCTGACTACTAATAGTATGTGACGGAGGGTCAGCGCCATGCTGAAACACCATGCACAAACACACACATCTCTTTTAGTACTTTAGCAATGTTATTCTATTAAAGGCAGGAAAGATGGTTTTTATTTTACCTTTATTTTGAATAAATACGTCCAAAAGTACAGCAGGGAATACAATGCCTATGCAAAAAACATTTTTTAACATGTAATAAACACAATTTTTTTGTGAGACTGGAAGCAGCAAGACTTACTGACAGTTTTAGTGTAGTAGTGTTTCTTGGGATCCAAATAATAATGCATGTATAGTTTATTAACAGTATCACCGCTGTTTGTCTTTTAGATTTTTATTCAGTTTTAGTGTCGTAGCACAACCCGAGAAAGCATCAGTTATTCTTTCGTCCTGTTTTCCTTCACTCTGGTCCTTTCCCTTGTACTCTGTTATACAAATGATATGAAATAAAGTGTGTGTGTTTTAAAAGGTTTGGTCTATGAGCTAATGCGCTTCACTGAAAAATTACCCTGACATATCAGAGTGCTAACAATCCATCCGGTCAGATACTGAGCACAGAAAATCCCTTTTCTCTCTGTGAGTCCCGCCACAACCAGATCCCGTCCTCTTACTGCTGTTTGAGAAAAAGAGCCGCTCCACACTGTATCCACTGGTTGGGGTTTGCTCCACAGGGCAGAGAGATGTGCGTGACCACCTTCACCCTCTCAGAGCTGGTATAGAGAGGCAGACAGATACTCTCCTCTGCTGCAGTGCAGGCAGCAACAGAGTTCTAGGATGAAGTAGAAATTTAGTGTAGGAGCGTAAGTATGCACAAATAATAGTTACAGAGTTTCATGCTAAATGATTAAAAATGGACACATCTCACAAACGTGATAACAAATAAATGACAACTTTCTGCCACTGCAATGTAACCGATTAGATAGAACATATAAAACTTCAGTCACTGGTCAGTGAAGACCTGGTAAACTCTGGTCGCTAGGGAAAATGTGAATTCCTAGACCAGTTGGCGAGTGGTTGCTGGAACCTGCTGGCTGCCTCTAGGTTAAATCAGTCGCAAAGAGAGATCAAAGCAATCGCATTTCAGTGTAGCCTCTTTGCAACCAATCTCACAGCAACTACTCACCAACTAGTCGAAAGGTCTCAAGACCAGCCTGTAGAGCCCAGTCAACCTCTTAAGTCTGACATCATTAGCCATTTCTTAGCCCAGCAAAGATGGAGGATGAGGATTAACTTTTTTCCCCTCAATAAAAGTTCATGTGCAGGTCCCCCGATAGAGACAAATGCAATCACATGGTAAGAAGAAGACGCCAAAAACAGACCCAACTTCAGCAAGAGAAGACCTGAGACGATCCATCCACAACATGAGGTTAGACATTAATATGCTGCTGCATGGTTTGGATGACTTGCTATGAACAATTCCTAAACCTAAGCTTGACGTCCACACTGAAATTTTAGTCAGAGTGATTCTTTTCTGGAGCACTCATGGAGTCTGTGGGCTGTAGTTACGTGGAAGGGTTTTAAAAACTGACCATAAAGACATGATGCACATGAATAGTGCTAATAAAAAGCCAGAGAGGCCGACAATGACCACTAATTATTTTTAGGGACTGACAGAAAATTTTTAAGACCAATACTGATATTCGGTCTTTTACAAATATGGCAAACAGTCAAATGTTTTTTCCTTTTAGACACATAAAGCTTACACAAATTTCCCTGTTAATATTTGTCACATGTAGTTATTTATGAATTGTTACTAAAATAATTAACAATCCAAGTTAAAAATAAACATGTCTCAATGCCAACACTGAAGCTGTATAGCGCCCTCTGTTGGACAAACTATGCAACATCAACACTGAAAAATGTTCTAATGCAGTTGAAAGACGATCCTCTCGTCTCTTCATTACTTTTTAAATGAGTATTTATCAGTTGTTACATGTTAGCAAATATCAGCCATATCAGTCAGATATTTGGCTGGGCTCTACCTGTGTGACTGAAGCCTAAACAGCAAAAAACTCACATTTGCACAAATCCCCAGAGCGTCCTTCAGACTTTGTGTAATTTTGATAAAAATTCATATTTCCACCATAATGCAACATCCCAGGTCAAAGAACAAGTACTTCATTAACTGAGTAGTCAACTGACATGAGAGCACCTGGCAACTGTTTAAAAAATGATCTAGTCATTTGTGTCACTTTTCAAATAAAATTGCAAACAATTGCTGCCAAAACCCTAAAATGTAAACAAAAAGAATTCTGTTTTATACAATTTATTAGCTTAAACTGTACATGTTTGGGTTTTGAAAGACGACATTGCTGTGGGCTTTGGAACAAAACATTTAAGATGATTACTGTCAGGTGCTGCACAGTGTGGTTTTCTCTTTTAAGAACACGTGCATACCTGTGGAACCCAGGCCATGTAGCACGTTGGGACAGCTGACACGCTGGGAGAATCATGCTGGTTCTCACAAAGATGGACACCATCAAAACTGCAACCCTCCAACTGGAGACCTCCAATCTACAAAGAAAATGCAAATGATAAGATGAACAAGAGAAACAGACACGCGAAAATGGAACAACAGCTACTCTGTGACTTAAACGCTGAACACTGGTGGGAGCCCTTCCCAGATTAACTAGCATGCTACATACTACATGAAAGAGACATCAAGTGAAGTCAGTCCAGTGACTCAGGGATTTTCCACAGTAGGACAGACAATAAAGGGAACTCTGGCGTCAAATCAGACACACACATACAAGTACTAAATCACCATAATCTGGGAAAGAAAAACCCAGAGAGTGAGAGCAAGACACAAATCCAGAAAATGTTTTTACATATTGTGTGTGTGTGTGTGTGTGTGTGTGTGTGTGTGTGTGTGTG